GGCATGCTGGGAAAAGCCACCGCCTGTAGCACCAGCATTCCATATGGTTGTTAGCTCATGTACAAGCTGCTGCTCCACTTCTGATCCAACTCCCAGTTATGCACCTAGGAAAGCAGCAGAGGATGACTCAAGCCCCTGTGTCCCTGTACCCACATGGAAGCTCATTAGAAACTTCTGGTTTCTGGTTTCAGCCTGACCCAGCTCTGGCTGTTTTCAGCATTTGAGGAGTGCACAAGCAAGTGGAAAACCTCTCCCTCGCTGCCTCTCCTTCTCCCCCTCTGTCACTCTTTCAAATAAACAAACTATTTTTTCTTAAGGTTTATTTATTTTTATTTGAAAGGTAGAGTTATACAGAGAGGAGAGACAAAGGTATTCTCCATCCATTGGTCTGCTCCCCAGATGGCTGCACCTGCTAGATCTGAGCCGATCCAAAGAGCCAGGAGTTTCCTCCAAGTTTCCCACATAGGTGCAGAGATCCAAAGACTTGATCCATCTTCTGCTGCTTTCTCAGGCCATGAGCAGAGAGCTGGACTGGAAGTAGAGCAGCCAGCATATGAACTGGCACCCACATGAGATACAGGCACTACAGGCAAATTACACCATGGTACCTGCCCCAAAATAAATATTTTTTAAAAGACATGAGCTATGCAAATGGTAATCATAAGGGGGTTTGAGTAACTATACTGATGTCAAACAAAATAGCCATTAAAACAGGAATTCTTATGAGACAAAAACATTTTATGTTAAAAGATCAATACATCAGAAAACTATATGTAATTATAAACATGAACCAAAACAGTGACGAATACATGAAGCAAAAAATGACAGTATTGAAAGGAAAAACAGGCAATACAAGTCTGAACTGTTAGAACAAGAGAGAAAATCAGTAAAAATGCAGGAAGCCACAACACAATCTCAAAACATCAGAACAGATTAAAAATACACAAAGTATGTTTTCACATGGACTCAAACAAGGCACTGCAAACATCTGGAAAATAAACAATGTGTCTCTAAATAGCACAGGGCCCAAAACAGAAATCACAGAGGCTATTTTAAAATGTTCTGAATGAATGAAAACAAAAGCACAATAAACCAAATTTGTTCAGTGCAAAGGGTACACTGCATTGCATTCAACAACATTAACATAAAAAGGGAAAGATTCAAATCAATTGCCTAGGTTTCCATCTTAAGAAATTAGAAAAAGAAAAAATTAAGCACAATGCAAGCAGAAAAAAAAGGAGTAATAGAAAGTTGAAATCAATGAAACAGAAATATATTAAAAATTAATAAAACCCAAGTTGGTTCTTTAAAACACTCAAAGACTAAGTATTTTTTAAATGCAAGCCTCACCGCCATGTATGCATAAAGAGCAATCTTTCAAAACCACAACAAACTTTGTGATATAAACTTACAAGCTAATCTTAAGTTTTACGCCAAGAAAAAATTTTTATTTTGATTTTACTATTAGATTTTACATTATATACAAGAAAAGAACCTAACCAATATTGAGAAGAACAAAGTAGGAGTGTTCACATGCTCCGATGTCAAACGCACCATCAAACCAGAAAGCAAAACACCACGGCACTGGCATAAGGGAAACCACGCACACCAGTGGAATCCAAAAATAAATCCTTGCAATTCAGCCAACTGATTTTCTACAAAGGGACAAATGGGGAAAGGGCATATTTTCCTTGGATATCAAACGAGAAAAATAAAATCTTAGACCACCTCCTCCCACACCACACCATCTACAAAAAACTAACATATGGTAGAACATGGAGTTAAACATAAAAACTAAACATTTTGAAGAAAATCTCTGTGACTGGAGCTAATAAGCGATTCTCAAAACAAAAGACCAAAACTATCACCTGTAAAAGAAAAAAGTCGATGCTGAATTTCACTGAAATGAAAAACATTTGTGCTTCAAAAGACAGCACGAGGAAAATGAAAATGGAAACCACTTACTGGGAAAAAGATATTTACTAATCACGTATGTGATAAGGGTCTCGTATCTAAACCTCCTAATAAGCTTGCAAAGCTCTCATTAGTAAGACAAATAACCTAAATGAATAACAGCAATAACCCAATTGAAAAATGGGTGCTGATAAAAACTACAACCTGGAGGAACTTTAAAAACACACTAGTGAAATAAGTCCAATGCAAAGGAACAAATGCTGTATAATTCTGCTTACAACAGGGAGCTAGAACGTGCAAACTCAGAGAGAAGGAAAACAGAATAGAGATGACGAGGGGGACTGCGAGTTATTATTTGATGGGAATAGAATTTCTACTGAGGATGATCAATGAGTTTTGGACATAGTCAATAGTGATGAATGTACAACATTGTAAGTGTACTTAACGTTACTGAATTACCTACTTAAAAGCGATTAAAATAATAATTTACCACCAAGAAAAAATGTAATTTGTAACAAAAATGGGCAAAAGACTTGAATATACATTTCACCAAAAAAAAAAATACATACAAACAACCAATAATTATACAGATGCCACTACACATCAGCTAGAATGACAATAAGCCAAAAGATAGGTAATGGCAAGCGTGGGGGAATCTGGAAGCCTTCCGTATTGCTGATGGCCTTGTAAAATGGTAGAGCCACTCAAACAGAAGTTTACTACATGACCCAGCAATTCCAATCTTATTAATTTACCTGAAAGAAATAAAAATGTGTTTCCCTTGGGCCCGGCGCGGTGGCGCAAGTGGTTAAGGTCCTCGCCTTGCACGCCCAGGATCCCATATGGGCGCCGGTTCTAATCCCGGCAGCCCCGCTTCCCTTCCAGCTCCCTGCCTGTGGCCTGGGAAAGCAGTCGAGGACGGCCCAAAGCTTTGGGACCCTGCACCCGCGTGGGAGACCCGGAAGAGGTTCCTGGCTTCGGATCGGCATAGTATCGGCCCGTTGCACTCACTTGGGGAGTGAATCATCGGACAGAAGATCTTCCTCTCTGTATCTCCTCTCTGTATATCTGCCTTTCCAATAAAAAATAATAAAAATAAATCTTTTAAAAAAAAATGTGTTTCCAAATCAAAGGCTTGTCCACAAACATTGAGAGCAGCTTTACTGATAATAGCTAACTACTGAAAAACATCCAAACATTCAACAATTAATGAACGGAAAACCATCAACTACAGATCTCTGATACATGCTGGCACCTGGCTGAATGACAAGTAAAAGATTCCAGGTACAAAAGACCCCATATGGACCAGTTCCATCTACATGAGAGGAACAAAACAGAACAAGTGACCAAGACAGAAAGTAGATGAGCCACTGCCTTGCAGGAGTACAAGTAGGGACTGCCTGCATACAGTCAACTGGGGAACAGGAAGGGGGGAGTAACATCCCCAAACTAACTTTTGTTGATGATGGTACACAATTCTACAAATTACTAAAAGGTGATTTAACTGTACACTTACAATGAGTGGATTTTTCTAGTACTCAAATTATATCTCGATAACTCTGTCCAGGAGCTGATACTGTGGTGGGCAGATCAATCATACTGACATCCCATGCTGGAGTTACCGAAGTACCTGTTCCTCTGTTTCTGATCCAACTCCCTGCTCACGCACCCGGGGAAAACAGGAGGTGACAGCCCGAAGAGTGGGTCCCTGCCATCCATGTGGGAGATCCAGATGGAGGTCCAGATGCCAGGCTTGGACCTGGCCAGTCCAAGCCCCAGCCACAGTCATTGTGGCCATTTAGCAGGATGAAACAGTACTATGGAACATTTCTCTCAGTCTCTTTCTTTCCTTACAAATAAATAAATACATCTTTAAAAGATAACATTTAAAAAAATAATGAATTCAAACAGCGGGTGTTACAGCACAGTGAGGTAAGTTGTTACTTGAGATGCTGGCATCCCATATCAGAGTGCCAGGTTCGAGTCCTCTTTACTCTTCTTCTGACCTAGCTTCCTGCCAATGCACCTGCAAAGCAGCAGGTGCTGCCTCAAATACCGGAAGCCCTGGTGCCTCTTTTGCAGATCTGGATGGAGCTGCTGGCTCCTGGCTTCAACCTGACCCAGTCCTGGGCTGCTGCAAGCATTTGGAGAGTGAACCATGAACCACTAAATGAGAGCCCCCTCTCTCAATGTCCTTTCTCTCTTTCCTTTTCCCTTCCCCTCCCCTCCTTCTTTGCCAGATTTCCTCTCTCCCTCCTTCTTTCTGTTATTCTGCCTTTAAACAATTCAATCTTCTAAACAATTCAAATCTGACAGTGGATTAAAAAAAAGGCAACTTAATTTCAAGAAGCATTTTGACATACGCCCCACGATGAGAAACGAAGGTTTTCCATAATATCTATCTTTAATCTGTATATCTAATAACCACACATGGAAGACATTAATACGGCAGGGTGGGAGAACGTGGGCCCCAGAGCAGTGAAAGCTTTCTGAACTAGAACGTGCGCTCCCTGGGAGTGCTCAGCCAGGAACAGCCAAGTGACAGATTCCAAAAATAGATAATATTAGCCTTAGATCAGACCCATTTCAGGGGAAAATAGGGCAATAACAGAGGAGTCTGAGAAGCGATTCAGTTTCTAAATTGCTTGAATGACAAACCGTGTTACACGCCATCATTATGACCTAGAAACATTTCATCCAAAGAAGCAAAGACTGACCTGGTAATTGATCTAACGGCTATCTTCAAAGACCTGAAGGGTTTTAGAGGAAACTATTTGAGTAGCTCCCTCTCCCCCTTGCTCTCTCTTGTTCTCCGCCGAGAGCCAAACAAAGCAAAATGATTTTAATCATCAGCAACGCAAATTTAGATTGAGCCATAAATAACATCAAAAGTAACTGCTACCGAATACTGAAATAAACTTAACTGGGATCTTTGTGCAAATCGTTGCCTTGGCCTTCGTTAGGAAGAAATGAGACAGGCAGGCTGGGGCTGAGCGTGCTCCTGTCTGGCAGGGGGCAGTCAGACCTGGGGCGGCTCCGGCCAGGCTGCAGAGCAGCACAGCGGCCTCACCTCACACTCCCCTTACCTCGATATCCCGGTTCAGCTGCTTCACTATGGCGGTGATGTTCCTGATGTGCTCCTCCAAGAACAGCCTGGCCAGGCGGTCGCCTCCCCCCTTGTTCTGCATCTTTTGCAAGCTGTTGACGATGTCGTCTTTGATGCGGAAGGCGTGCTCCACGAGCGCGGCCGTCGTCTTCTCATGGCACAGGATCCTGTCTTCCAGCTGCTCCACGAGGCTCACGGATGAGTAGGGTGCCACGCTCAGCGACTGGCTGTGTCGGGGCATGGTTCTAACTCGCCTGCGGGAGGGGATCACATGAGGGCTGGGGACTGTTCCCTGGGAACAAGAGTAGTTCTTTTTTTTTCAAATGCAAGACACCCCAGACAGGAAAATACAAATGAGCTGTCCCTATCAGCTAAGGGGGTGTGGTTCAGGGTTTCTACCCAAAAGAACCAGACAGTAGCTTTTAAATAACTGTGTCCATTCTCTTAATATTCCCTTAAGAGTTCTGGAGGCAGGTTCTATAGCGAGAATAGGGCCCACAAATGTCTCCCCCAGTGTAAGCAACATCAGGCTTTCTAGCAGTATGCCACGGCATGCCCCTCCCCGCAGCCCAGAAGCAGTGCTGCAAGCTCCTACATGGACAGGACCCTGCAGCTGACAGAAATGACTGGTGTTTGATGGGCGACTTTGGAGAACTGGGAAGGGCACTGTCCCGCTAAAGGACACTCTTCAGTGACCACATGAGAACGCAAGTCCATTTTGCCACATCATCTTATGTTTCAGAAAGAGCCAGGAAATCCAGACTTGTAGGGACAGGTGTCTGATTTTATTTACTTATTTTTTAATTTTTTTTGCCTGATTCTTGAGAGTTTGCAAGATCACGGAGGAAAAGCACTGCCTTCCAAGAACCAATTCTGGCCTGAGGGCAACTTGGTTTGCAGCTGGTTACTTCAAACAGTTAACAATACACTACCCTCAAGCCTCTAGAAGCTGGACTTTCACCGTTATGGTCAATGTCCTACGTGGCCACACCTGACATCTCTACGTCTTGAGGTCACTGAATGGGCTGTGGTGTTCTACAGACTGGAAGCTGGGAGAGGGGGCCCCAATGACACTGCCTGCCCTTGAACAAAGCCATTTTTGACAATGCGACCGCCACAAGGGTTCCTTTCAAATGACCATCACACTCTCCCTCCCTCGCCTCTAGCAGCCCGCACAGGATTGGTGGAAAAGAAAAGTATACCTTAGATGCATATTTTCCATATATTATACCTTTCCTCGGTGACAAGAGAAGGAAATACAGTGCTCCGTTGGGCCATTTTCTTTTTAATAATTCACATCTGTTGAAAAAACACGCATTCAATTATTTAACAGCTAGTATCTAGAACTTGACCTCAAAAGCTTATTAAGTTACTAAAGTGGTTCATAAGTTTTATGGACATGCTGATCTATCAGATTATTAAATGTCTTATGTCTTCTACATGACATAAAAAAGCAAATGTTTCCAAATATAAATTAAAAAATAGAGACACGACAAAATCAAAGTGCTTCTAAAGTTAATACTATTAAATCTTGATACAGAAAATCAGTACAGCTTGCTCATCGGCATTCCCCGAAGTTCCCTCCCTGAATGTACACTCAAGCTTGGAAAAGCATTTTTTATAGAGACGAAGTACAAGTACTGGCATTGTGGCATAGTGGGCTAAGCTGCTACTTGCGATGCCAGTGTCTGAAAGGTGTGCCGATTCGAGTTCCCTGCTGCTCCACTTCCCACCCAGCTCCCTGCTAAAGCGCCTTGGGAAAGCAGCAGATAGGCCAAGTGCATGGGCCTCTGTACCCACATGGGCGGCTAATATGAGGAATCAACGCTCCTGGCTTATTATTTCACATCTGGGTCTAGCCCCAGATATTGTGACCATTTGGGGGAGAACCAGTGCGTAGAAAACTCTTTGTTGGTAACTCTACCTTTAAAATAAACAAATAAATCCTGGCGGGGAAAAAAAATAAAATACTTCCTTTATGTGGCTTATTCCATCTCCCATTTCTGCAGGGAACAACCTGAGTCAATCTGATCTCAGGAAATTTAGCAAAGTCTACAGCAAAGCTAGAAAGTATTTCTAAATCCATCTTCAATAACAGTAACAAATTTAAAAAAAAAAAACTTGATCAGTGGGGCTGTGACTGGGAAGAACCCATGTATACACAAGAGAAATCAGAAACATGGTTTTCATTAAAACTTGATTATGAGCTCAATGTGATGGTTCAGTGGCTAAAACCCTCACCTTGCAAGTGCCAGGATCCCATATGAGCACCAGTTCTAACCCCAGCAGCTCCACTTCCCATCCAGCTCCCTGCTTGTGGCCTGAGCAAGCAGTAAAGGACAGCCCAAAGCCTTGGGACTCTGCACCCACGTGGGAGACCCGTAAGAGGCTCCTGGTGCCTGGCTTCAAAAAAGCTCAGCTCTGGACGTTGTAGACACTTGGTGAGTGAACCAGTGGATGAAGATCTTTCTGTTTCTCCTCTCTGTAAATCTGCCTTTCTAATAAAAAATAAATTCTTCTTTAAAAGAACTGAATTATAAAATATAGTCACTCACTTTTCAATCAGTTACATTTTTGCATAGAAGGATTCGATTGCCACCACTGGTTAGAAATCTGAATAATACTGCAGGATTTTGGGCCCAGCGCAGTAGCCTAGTGACTAAGATCCTCATCTTGAATATGCTGGGATCCCATATGGGTGCCGGTTCTAATCCCAGTGGCCCCACTTCCCATGCAGCTCCCTGCTTGTGGCCTGGGAAGGCAATGGAGGACAGCCCAAACTCTTGTGACCCTGCATCCATGTGGAAGACTCAGGGGAAGCTCCTGGTTCCTGGCTTCAGATCAGTGTAGTTCCGGCCATTATGGCCACTTGGGGAGTGAATCATGGATGGAAGACCTTTCTCTCTGTCTCTCCTCCTCTATATATATCTGACTTTGTAATAAAATAAATAAATCTTTTAACAAATATTGCAGGCTTTTAAAAATACTTGGTTTCTTTGGGTTTCTCAGTACTGCTGTTGATTGATTTAAAACACCCCTCGCCTGGCAACCTGGATCAGATTCAGCCATCAGTCCTGACCTAGCCACTGAAGCCCCAGGCCGCTTCTCACTGCTACCGTTGTGTTGGCACCATCTTATCAGTGCTTTATTTTTAGAGTTGCAACATATGAACATTTCACCTTCCTAGACAAAGAGCTTCAAATTTCAAAGAGATTACATTTTGTGGGTTGGGGGAGGAGAAAGTTCATGCCACACAAGCATGGTAAACCAACAAGTGTTTCAGCACCAAAGAGATGTCTGATGTCTGATCAATAACAGGAAGCCAGGATGGGGCACGCTATCATTTAGAATCTTAGCAGTTGTAAAGCTGTCAGACAGCTCAAGTTGAGACGTTCTAAAGAACCTTTATTCCGGGGTGATTACAGTGGTGCAGTGGGTTCTGCTGCTTCAGGTTAAGCCTCGAAAGCAGACACAAGCACCCACGTGGGGCATAGGTTTGAGTTCCAGCTGTTCTACTTATGATCCAGCTCCCTGCAGACACGCCTGGGAAAGCAGAGGAGGATGGCCCGAATGCTTGGGCCTCTGTCACCTACACAAGAGACCGGAGTGGAGCTCCTGGCTAGAGGCTTTGTCCTGGTCCACACCTGGCCGCTGTGACTATCAGGGGAGTGAGTCAGCATCTGTTACTGCTCTCCTTGAGCGACAGAAGCCCACCTGCCTTGACTTTCTCAAAGGGAAGCCTACAGGGCCCGGCGCGGTGGCGCAAGTGGTTAAAGGTCCTCGCCTTGCACGCCCAGGATCCCATATGGGCGCCGGTTCTATCCCGGCAGCCCCGCTTCCCTTCCAGCTCCCTGCCTGTGGCCTGGGAAGGCGGTTGAGGACAGCCCAAAGCTTTGGGACCCTGCACCCGCGTGGGAGACCCAGAAGAGGCTCCTGGCTTCGGATCGGCATAGTGTCGGCCCGTTGCGCTCACTTGGGGAGTGAATCATCGGATGGAAGATCTTCCTCTCTGTCTCTCCTCTCTGTATATCTGCCTTTCCAATGAAAAAATAATAAAAAAAAAAAAAAGGAAGCCTACAGTCCAATGACTGCGTGAGATGGTTACTGAGCAGCAAGTACTCCGGGTATCGGGTCTGCACATGCTCTCCGGCAGGAGCCTCCTACAGCTCCCACAGCGTGAGTTCACCACACGCACCGACACCTGCTCGGAGGCGGTGCCCTTTCAGAACGCACGTGGACCTGCTCGTCCGTCAGTCCCCTTGGTTTCCCAGGTCATGATTCTCGGCCAGAGCAGAGGCACTCTCTGAGGGGCTTGCCACAGAATGACAGAAAGAGCATATTACAAAGAAACTATGTCTGGGTTTCAAAAATATTTTCCCCGAAATAAAATCTATCTTCTATCTGTTCATGAACTTTTTGAAGTACATCTATATCACAAATGAATAAGGACTGATTAATAAATAAGTCACCAGATTCAATAACTTCTCAAGCATGGTTTCCGAATTTTCCCATTGTGGCTGGCTTACCACCCTGAGGCTGTCACGCCCACAAATTTACAAATCCGATCATCCAATGCTGTTAATGGGCAAGCGGGCCTACGGCTTCATTAAGCTGGTCTGTGTTGCAGGCCATTTTGATTTCGATAGTACCATGAGTCATTGTTATAATAAACCACCTCTACTTGATTAGTTTAAAATGGGTGAGTTAAGAAGCAACAGACAGGCAATGCAGAGAAAGAAAAACTGAAGTAAGTGTTTTAAAAAAGTAAATCACGCTGCTCAAGACATACAACATACCAACCGGACTGTCAGTTTCTCATGCTAGTTAAAGGAAATAGCATCTAAATGAAAACTCAGCGAAGAAGGGAGAGGCAGACAGGAAGTAGATATACTCACATATACATATGAATATTTTAAGTAAAACAGGAGACAACTAATCCTTGCGGGACACTGGGTATTTTACTTACTGATTTTAATGCAAAACAATACGAATTTAATAAACTGACAAACAGGAAACTGAATGCCAGTCACATAAAAACAAAGTTTCACTATTAAAATACAGTGTTGATATATTCTGCTGGGTGTCAGAATTTAAAAAAAAAAAAAAGGCAGCCAAAGCTCTTATGAATAAAGTGGTTGTAATTTGATGGTTCTAAAAAAAAATCTTATTTCCTTCTACAGTGGTTAAAAATAGAGTGAAAAGTAGGAGAGTAGCTGAAGGTGTGTCTGGAAACCTAGCTGGGGGCCGCTCTCTCGCTGTCTCCAACTCGGGCTGAGGGTCACAGACTCGCTCCCGGGCGGGAAGGGCCAGATTCAATGTGGTGGGAAGGCAAGCTACCCTTCGGGAAGACCTGCTTCCTTTCTATTTCTTAATGTTCCTACATACACACCTAATAGGAAATATGCCCACTTTAAAAACAAAATCTTTATCTGGGGTGCATATTTAGCCTAACAGTGAAGATGACAGGCAGCTGGGATGCTGTGTCCCAGACTGGAATCCCCACGCCGGATGTCCACTTCCAGCTCCCGACCCCAGCTGCCTGCTCCCCAGGACACTCGGAGGCAGCGGTGATGCCTCAAGAAGTTGAGTGTCTGCCACCCCCAAGGGAGACCTAGACAGAGGTCCCAGCTCCCCACTGGCTTTTTTGGTTTAGTCAGAGGATGTACATCCTGTTATTTCTCTCTCTCAGTATGCACCTCTCAAATAAAACCATGTAAATATTTAAAAATAAACCTTTCTATAAAACTTTCTGCCAACCAGCATTCTCTGTCCTTTATATAAGGAGATATTTTAGTGCTTACTGTCTGAGTCCCGTGGGAAAAGCATCGGGCAGGTACCCCAAGGCTTGCACGCAGCTGGCCGCCCCAACAGCCGAGCTTACAGCTGCACTCAAGCCATCCTTGGCTCTCTGAGACCAGATCATACGTATGCAAGGAAAACTCTGTCACACACATATTTTGTTCGGAGAAATTTGGAACATTCAAAAAGCAGCTTTTTGTAAGCTGAAGCAAATTGCTTTGTGTGATTGAAGTCACATTTTAAAGTTAGGTTCCATCTGAAGACATAAAAGATAAAATGCAATCAACACTCAGATTTTGCTGAATGCTGTAACTACATCCATTTTTCTTTAAAAAAAAAAAAGATGTATTTATTTTGATTGGAAAGGCAGATTTGCAGAGAGAAGGAGAGACAGAGAGAAGGTTCACTACCCAAGTGGCCACAATGGCTGGAGGTGAGCCAATCCAAAGCTGGGAGCCAGGAGCCTCTTCTGGGTCTCCCATGTGGGTACAAGATCTGAA